CCGCGGGGGTGGTGGGGAGCACTCCGGAACTCGGGGGCTTAGAGACCTGTCGGGATTGGGTCGGTGACATTGTCTGGTCCCTGGCACTGCCCCCATCCATTTCTTCCTCGCCTGCTCACCCAGCCCAGTTGATCTCCTTTACCCTTGCAGACTTATTCCGGCGCGTCGTCGCCATGCTCCCCCCATCCCTCCCCTTACCCTGGCTGCCTCGCCCACCCTCTCGTTCTTGACATTAATTGGGACTCTCGTTTGACATCTTGAACCCCACCACTCCACGAGGCTGCGCGAGCTCCACAATTTAATGGAAAAAATGTCCGATGATGACCAGGCGATTCTGAGCGCCTGGTACCGCTGAGTGGGGCTGACAGGCAGAGCTATGTCCCGTGCCAGGGAGAAGATGCATTCTGGCATGGACGGAAAAGAGTGCGGAGGCGAGTTCTTAGGGACAGCAAGTGGTGAGCTTGAACCACGCTGAAGGAATCGATTCGGCGTCGGCAATGGGATTGATTTGGTCTTGGTTTATGATTACCCAGAAATACTTGGCAAGTTGTTGGCGGTCTGGAGTGAGGAAGACTGACGAGCCCCAAAATGGTTGTCATCAACTGCGGTGTGGATATAAGCCCTTAAACTTTGTGGAACAGGGTTGTGGGTGTCCTGGGGGATTGGCTGAAGTTAATTGACATCCCTGGCTTGCAAGACAGTGGCAGGGTAACCAGAGCTCATGTTTAGGGGCCAGGCACTTTACGAAGTGCTTTTGAAGCTTTGGGGAATAATACAGGATCAAGCTCTTGTAGGTGTTACCAGTTACGCCCCAGTGGCAGAAGCAGAATCTTAAGGCAGTCAAGGCTGCTTCTGGAGTTCATATACTTAGAACTCAAAACACTCTACTCCCCGCTTTCCTCAAACTAAACTAGTAGTGCAGCACCTCTGTCACCACTGTCTACCCTGTAAGCAGATGAAGGACGAGAGGCTCACGATGGAAGTAAATTGTGGATAGGAATTATTTATAAGTAGGATGGGATACTGCATGGTCAATGTCCAGCATTGCTTAAGACTGCTACAAACCATCTCTGCAGAAGTCCCTGCCTTCTCTGAAATATGTTTTCAACTAGAAATCGACTTAGCAAATTCTTACACAATTAGGCCAAAGGCGCATTTCAGTTTTGTGCCTTCTTGAACAACCACCAATTTCAGATGAGTGAATTTTGATTAATTGAGATTTTGTTGTAGTGAGGTAGCACATTTATTTTAGCAGTTTGTTTTTTACTGTCCATGGCCTCATTTTTAAATTAAATCTAATTTGTTTCACATCTGGACTAAAGATGGATGCTAATTTATCAAAGGGATTAAGACTTCAGCATTTCTAAATCCAGCCTAGGAATGATACACCTAAATCTTATAAAGAATAATTTTTCATACCTCCTTATTACTCTATAGAGTGAGTTGTAACTGCTAAAAGATGTAATTACCACATCTATAAATCTTTTAGTTGAATAATCAGCTCACTTGCATAATTGGGGAAATATAATAGAAAGTTCACTTCAAACAAAATTATAGAATTGTCTGTAAATAAACATGCAAACACTCTAGTTAGAGAAATTACAGTTTTTCACTAAGCAGTGATATTGAGTCTAATAAAATTAGGTATGTTTTTGTAAAATAAAATCTTTCGTAAAATCAAAATAAGGCATGGCATTCTTATAATTCAGTAAGTCTTTTTTTCTGCATTTCTCATTCATTCCCTTCCCCTGACCATGAGATATAAAAGCAACAGAGGCCATGCAAGTGGTCAGGAAAGTTCTATGGTGCCAAGTCCAGACAGCTGTCCTTGCTTGCACCTTGACAAGGTCAAGTCCAAAGGACCTAAGGCTAACCACAAAACTGACCTACATTAGAAAATAAAACATGACTCTTCCTTAATTACTACCAATTTGTAGGGTTAATTTTGTCTCTAATGTTTCTTGAGATTAAAAAAAGGTGTTTCCTAATCCTACCCAGGCTCAGTTTGGTAGTTTGTTTTCAATTTCGGTAAATTAACGGCCTCTTGTCAGTGAGAACCAGGCTGGCATCCACAGGGTTTTGTGGCTAAACAGATAAACAGTGGGCCAGCTGCCAGTGCCTGGAAGGTGCCCTGGGAGATAAGGCATCTCTAAGGTAACCAGGACCAGTGACCAAGTCCTTTACAGAGAAAAGCGACCTGTTATTACACCGGGAAGCCCACGAAGAGGGCTGTGTCCCCATCACACTTGCATTGATGTTGTTCTCACAGACCAGTTACAGGTGTATCTGTTTCTCACTATAGTAGTAAGTGGGGCACATACAACATTCCCATGGCAAATTTGATATTTTTTAATAGGATCAATCGTATATAAAACCTAAAGAAAAATAAGTTATTTTCTAACAATATAGCTATTCTTGGAGGAAAAATTTTTTTCCTAGTGTCTTCCCCCCACTCCCCCTCGAAACAAAGCAAAACAAAAAAATACCCAGTCCACCAAACAAATCCTTTGGGCCTAGTGCTTCACTGAATGAAAATTCTGTGAGGTTCCGTGTCTTTCCTCAGCGTAGACCATCTAAACAAAGTGCTTCCTTTTGGTCAAACTGAAAATAGCCATCGTGTTATCAACCACTGAACTCACTGACACTGAGTTGATGCCCATGTGGCAGAGTAGAACTGCCCCTGTGGGTTTCAGAGACTGTCAATCTTTCCTGGAGTAGAAGGCTCCATCTTTTGCCCACAGAGCACCTGGTAAGTTGAACTGCCTGCCTTGTGGCTAGGTTAGATAAGGTCACGACCAAAAAATAGGGTCTGGCAGTGAGGGTTTTTTTTTTTTTTTTAACTTCTGAATGGTGAAAAACTCTGATGGCACCAGGTGAAGGGAGACGTCGGACATGGCAAGATGTGACAAAGTAATAATTTATAAATTATCAAGGGCTCATGAGGGAGGGGGGAG